CAAACTCCACTACGTACATATATATGGGCAGGTACAAGCCTCAACTCGATTTTACAGTAAAAACCGCAGGAACTTCAAACCGGCACTAGTAAACAGACTGAGAAATCAGAGTAAGTGTTTCTCCTGAAACCCGTTCCCTTTGTGCTGGATGAACGAAGTTTTCTCCACATGCTCAGTTCAGAGAAATAATTGTGTGTGAAAGCCGTCCTTCACCTAACTTGAAGGGAACACAAAGATTCTTTCAGTCGCAAACTCCACTACATACATATATATGGGGACGTACAAGCTCCAACTCGTGTTTACAGTGAAAACCGCAGGTATATCAAACCGGCACTAGGAAACAGACTGAGAAACCAGAGTAAGTGTTTTCATGCAACCCGTTCCCTTTGTGCTGGATGAACAAACGTCTCTCCACATGTTCTGTTAGGAGTGATCTGTGTGTGTCAAAGCCGTCCTTCAACTAGCTTGAAGGGACTACAAAGTTTCTTTTCATTTTCAAACTCCACTACATACATATATATGGGGAGGTACAAACTCCAACTCATCTATACAATGAAAACCGCAGGAACTTCAAACCGGTAGTAGGAAAGAGACTGAGAAACCAGAGTAAGTGTTTCCCATGCAATCCGTTCCCTTTGTGCTGGATGAACGAACGTCTCTCCACATGCTCATTTCTGAGAAATAAGTGTGTGTGAAAGCCGTCCTTAACCTAGTTTTAAGGGAACACAAAGTTTCTTTTCAGTTGCCAACTCCACTACATACATATATATGGGGAGGTACAAGCTCCAACTCGGTTTTACAATGAAAACCGCACGCACTTCAAACCGGCACTAGATAACAGACTGAGAAACCTAGGTAAGTGTTTCTCCTGCAACCGGTACCCTTTGGGCTGGATGAACGAACGTCTTTCCACATGCTCAGTTCTGAGAGCTAAGTGTGTTTGAAAGCCGTGCTTCATCTAGGTTGAATGGAAAACTAGGTTTCCTTTCAGATTCAAACTCCACTACATACATATATATGGGGAGGTACAAGCTCCAGCTTGGTTTTACTTTGAAAACCGCTAGAATTTCAAATCGGCACTAGAAAACCGACTGAGAAAAGAGTAAGTGTGTCTTCTGCAACACGTTCCCTTTGTGCTGGATGAACGAACGTCTATCCACATGCTCACTTCTGAGAGATGTGTTTGTGAAAGCCGACCTTCACATAGCTTGAAGGGAACACGAAGTATCTTTACAGTTGCAAACTCCACTATATACATATATATGGGGAGATAGAAGCTCCAACTTGGTTTTACAGTGAAAACGGCAGGAACTTCAAAACGGCACTTGGAAAGAGACTGTAAAACCAGAGTAAGTGTATCCCCTGCAAACCATTCTATTTGTGCTGGATGAACGAACGTCTCTCCACTTGCTCAGTTCTGAGAGATAAGTGTGTGTGAAAGCCATCCTTCACCAAGCTTGAAGGGAACACAAAGTTTCTTATAAGTTGCAAACTACACTACATACATATATAAGGGCATGTACAAGTTCCAACTCGGTTTTACAGTGAAAACCACAGGAAATTCAAACCGGCAGTAAGAAACCGACTGAAAAACCAAAGTAACGGTTTCTCCTGCAACATGTTCCATTTGTGCTGGATGAATGAACGTCTCTCCACATGCTCAGTTGTGAGAGATAAGTGTGTGATAAAGCCGTCTTTCACCTAGCTTGAAGGGAACACAAAGTTTCTTTTCAGTTACAAACCCCACTACATACATATATATAGGGAGGTACAACTCCAAATCAGTTTTGCAGTGAAATCGCAAGGAACTTCAAACCGACACTAGGAAACAGACTGAGAAATCAGAGAAAGTATTTATCCTGTAACCCGTTCCCTTTGTGGTGGATTAACGAACGTCTCTCCACATGCTCAGTTCTGACAGATATGTGTGTGTTAAAGCCGTCCTTCACCAAGCCAAAAGGAACACAAAGTTTCTTTTCAGTTGCAAACTCCACTACATACATATATATAGAGACGTACAAGCTCATACTCCATTGTACAGTGAATAAGGCAGGAACTTCCAACAGGCACTAGGAAACAAACTGAGAAATCAGAGTAAGTGTTTCTACTGCAAACCATTCCCTTTCTGCTGAATGAACGAACGTCTCTCCACATGCTCAGTTTTGAGAGATGTGTGTGTGAAAGCCTTCCTTCACCTAGCTTGAAGGAAACACAAAGTTTCCTTTCAGCTGCAATCTCTACTACTTACATATTTATGGGGATGTACAAGCTCCAACTCGGTTTTACAGTGAAAACCACAGGAACTTCTACCCGACACTAGGAAACAAACTGAGATACCAGAGTTATTGTTGTACCTGCAACCCGTTCCCTTTGTGCTGGATGAACGAACGTGTCTCCACATGCTCATTTCTGAGAGATTAATGTGTGTGAAAGCCGTTCTTAACCTAATTTGATGGGAACAAAAAGTTTCGTTTCAGTTGTAAACTCCACTACATACATATATATGGGGAGGTACAAGCTCCAACTCGGTTTTAGTTTGAAAACCGCAGGAAATTCAAGTTGGCACTAGGAAACAGACTGAGAAAAAAGAGTAAGTGTTTCTCCTGCAACCCGTTCCCTTTGTCCTGGAGGAATGAAAGTCTCTCCACATGCTCAGTTCTGACAAAAATTTGTGTGTGAAAGCCTTCCTTCACCTTGCTTAAAGAAAACACAAAGTTTCCTTTCAGTTGCAATCTCTACTACTTACATATATATGGGGAGGTACAAGCTCCAAGTCGGATTTACAGTGAAAAATGCAGGAACTTCTACCCGACACTAGGAAACAAACTGAGATACCAGAGTTAGTGTTGTTCCTGCAACCCGTTCCCTTTGTGCTGGATGAACGAACGTGTCTCCACATGCTCAGTTCTGAGAGATAAATGTGTGTGAAAGCCATACTTAACCTAACTTGAATGGAACACAATGTTTCTTTTCAGTTGCAAACTCCACTACATACATATATAATGGGAGGTACTAGCTCTAACTCGGTTTTACAGTGAAACAACAGGATCTTCAAACCGACACTAGGAAAGAGGCTTAGAAACAGAGTAAGTGTTTCTGCTGCATCCCGTTCCCTTTGTCCTGGATGAATAAACGTCTCTACACATGCTCAGTTCAGAGAGTTAAGTGTGTGCACAAGCCGTTCTTCACCCAGCTTGAAGGGAAGTCAATGTTTCTTTTCAGTTGCAAAATTCACTACATACATACATATGGGGAGGTACAAGCTACAACTAGGTTTTACAGTGAAAACCGCAGGATCTTCAAACCGGCTCTACGAAAAAGACTGAGAAACCAGAGTAAGTGGTTGTACCGCAACCCGTTCCCTTTCTGCTGAATGAACGAACGTCTCTCCACATGCTCATTTCTGACAGATATGTGTGTGTTAAAGCCGGCCTTCACCAAGCCAAAAGGAACACAAAGTTTCTTTTCAGTTGCAAATTTCACTACATACATATATATAGAGAAGTACAAGCTCATACTTCGTTGCACAGTGAATAAGGCAGGAACTTCCAACAGGAACTAGGAAACAGACTGAGAAACAAGAGTAAGTGTTTCTCCTGCAAACCATTCCCTTTGTGCTGAATGAACGAACGTCTCTCCACATGCTCAGTTTTGAGAGATGTGTGTGTGAAAGCCTTCATTCACCAAGATTGAAGGAAACACAAAGTTTCCTTTCAGTTGCAATCTCTACTACTTACATATATATGGGGAGGAACAAGCTCCAACTCGGTTTTACAGTGAAAACCGCAGGAGATTCTACCCGACACTAGGAAACAAACTGAGATACCAGAGTTAATGTTGTCCCTGCAACCCGTTCCCTTTGTACTCGATGAACGAACTTCTGTCCACATGCTCAGTTCTGAGAGGTAAATGTGTCTGAAAGCCGCACTTAACCAAACTTGAATGGAACACAATGTTTCTTTTCAGTTGCAAACTCCACTACATACATATATATGGGGAGGTACAAGCTACAACTCGGTTTACAGTGAAAACCACAGGAACTTCAACCCGGCACTAGGAAACAGACTGAGAAACCAGAGTATGTGCTGGTAGTGCAACCCGTTCCCTTTCTGCTGGATGAACGAACGTGTCTCCACATGCTCATTTCTAAGAGATTAATGTATGTGAAAGCCGTTCTTAACCTAATTTGATGGGAACAAAAAGTTTCTTTTCAGTTGTAAACTCCACTACATACATAGATATGGGGAGGTAAAAGCTCCAACTCGCTTTTACTTTGAAAATCGCAGGAAATTCAAGTTGACACTAGGAAACAGTCTGAGAAAAAAGAGAAAGTGTTTCTTCTGCAACCCGTTCCCTTTCTGCTGGATGAACGAACGTCTCTCCACATGTTCAGTTCTGAAAGATTAGTGTGTGCGAAAGCCTTCCTTCACCTAGCTTGAAGGGAACACAAAGTTTCTTTTCAGTTGCAAACTCCAATATATACATATATATGGCGAGGTACAAGTTCCAACTCGGTTTTACTGTGAAAATGGCAGGAACTTGAAACTGGCACTTGGAAAGAAACAGAGAAACCAGAGTAAGTGTTTCTCCTGCAACCCGTTCACTTTGGCTGGATGAACGAAAGTCTCTCCTCATTCTCACTTCAGAGAGATAACTGTGTGTCAAAGCCGTCCTTCACCTAGCTTGAAGGGATCACAAATTTTCTTTTCAGTTGTAAACTCCACTACACAGATATATATGGGGAGGCACAAGCTCCAACTCGGTTTTACAGTCAAAACAGCAGGAATTTCAAACCGGCAGTAAGAAACACACTGAGAAACCAGAGTAAGTGTTTTTCCTGCATCCCGTTCCTTTTGTGCTGGATGAACGAACGTCTCTCCAATGCTCAGTTCTGAGAGATAAGTGTGTGTGAAATGCGTCCTTCACCTAGATTGAAGGGAACACAAAGTTTCTTTTCAGTTTCAAACTCCACTACGTACATATATTTAGGGATGTACAAGCTCAAATTCTGTTGTACAGTGCATAAGGCATGAATTTCCAACAGGCAAAAGGAAAAAGCCTGAGAAACCAGAGTAAGTGTTAGTCCTGCTACCCGTTCCCTTTTTGCTGGATGAGCGAACGTCTCTCCACATGCTCAGTTCTGAGAGATAAGTGTGTGTGAAAGCCGTCCTTCACCTAGCTTAAAATGAACACAAAGTTTCTTTTCAGGTTCAAACTCCACTACATTCATATATATGGGGAGGTACAAGCTCCAACTCAGTTTTTCAGTGAAAACCACAGGAACTTCAAACCGGCACTAGGAAACAGACTGAGAAACCAGAGGAAGTGTTTCTCCTGCAACCCGTTCCCTTTGTGCTGGATGAATGAACGTCTCTCCACATACTAAGTTCTGAGATATAAGTGTGTGTGAAAGCCGTCCTTTACCTAGCTTGAAGGGAACACAAATTTTCTTTTCAGTTACAAACTACACTACATACATATATATGGGCAGGTAAAAGCCCCACATCGGTTTTACAGTAAAAACCGCAGGAACGACAAACCAGCACTAGGAAACAGACTGAGAAACCAGAGTAAGTTTTTGTCCTGCAACACGTTCCTTTCTGCTGGATGAACGAACGTCTCTCCACATGTTCATTTCTGAGAGATAAATGTGTGTGAAAACCATACTTAAACAAACTTCAAGGGAACACATAGTTTCTTTTCAGTTGCAAACTCCACAACATACATATATATGGGAAGGAACTAGCTCCAACTCAGTTTACAGTGAAAACCACAGGATCTTCAAACCGGCAACAAGAAAGAGAATTAGAAACCAGAGTAAGGGTTTCACCTGCACCATGTTCCCTTTGTGCTGGATGAAAGAACGTCTCTCCACATGCTCAGTTCTGAGAGATAAGTGTTTGTGAAAGCCGTCGTTCACCAAGCTTGAAAAGAACACAAAGTTTCTTTTCAGTTGCAAATTACACTTCATTCATATATAAGGGCATGTACAAGCCCCAACTCGGTTTTACAGTGAAAATGGCAGG